TACCCCACCACCCCAACCCCCCCCCCACCCCCCCCCAACCGTAACACCAACAAAATAGGTTTTGACGTTTAAATTATCATAACAATTCACTGAGATTTCATGCAGAATACCAGGGGCACTTCGTTGATTTATAAATAGCAGATTTTTCACGTCATTCACACACAGTCTCTCTCCAGCTGGTCCCATAAACATGGCACCTAGCATCCAATCATTATCTATGATACACGATTCCCAGGAATGTATCAAACCCATTCCGGCCTTTTACTGTTGCTACCTTCTGCGTTCATGTGTTCGTCATGCTAGTCTCTATATCGGCTCCACTCCAGACCCCGCTAGACGGTTGGCCCAGCACAATGGGGACAGGAACGGCGCAGCTAAACGAACATTGAGAGAGAACCTGAGGCCGTGGGAGATGGTGGCTATAGTGAGCGGATTTACAAGCAGAGTTGCTGCGTTGCAGTTTGAGTATGTAGGCTCTATATTCAGCCCCACCAGAACAAGAGTCCCTCTTTTTCGTGTTTTTCTTCAGTTATTATTTTATTGGAGCATTGTCTCATCGTGCGATCGCTTTTAGATGGGCATGGCAAAATACAAAGGTTTCCCGCCATGCAGATCTCGACGGGAATGTGATCCAGGAATTAGGAGTCCGGATATGTCCTCGAACGGGAAAGGGGGTCAAAGGCACTGCTAAACCTCGTACTTCACTGACAAATATTTTGGCAAATCTGCATCTTCTCCTACGATCACCGTACTTTTCAAAGTGGCCGGTCGAGGTCCGATTTTTCTCAGCGGATGTACATCGCGTATGGCAGGTTTGGTTGCAGCGCGTTGATGGTTTGCTCAATGATGGGATCAGAGTAGTAACGGATTTTGCACTAGATGGGATAAGCGAGGTCGAAAGAAAAGAGCTGCTCGCGGGAGCAGGGAGGGTTGGAACTTTGGATGTCGGTTACAATAGTATCAAGGAGTACGTGGAGAAGTCGCAATTTTTACTTGAAGATGGAGAACGAATCAATTGCGGGGTGTGTAAGCAGAGGTTAATTTTGCAGCATGACATCATTGCAGTATGTTCTCACAGCTCATGTCACTGCGCAGCTCATCTTTCATGCTTGTCGTCACATTTCCTGAAGGACAAGGACTCTGATTCGGAACTAATTCCACGAGAAGGAACTTGTCCTGCATGTTATGGCAAGTTAGAATGGCTCACCATGATGAAAGAAATTTCTTTGCGACTTCGGGGCCAAGAGGAGGTAAATCGACTGTTTAGGAGACGGCGACAAGCGGGGACGCCGAAGGGCCAAGGTTTGAAAAGTGTTCGGGGTCGGGGTCGGGGTCATTCGGAAGACGAAAGCGATGCGTTGCAAGTGTCCACGGGTCTCGACATTGTCGATCTTACCCCATGCTCTGACGATCCGTGGACGATTGATTGTGCAATCGGTGAACTTGGGGGAATCGCACATCGACCGGGCGGGGAAAGCTCGGGCAACGATTCTGACGCAACAATCACACCCGAAATGGAGACCCCTCCCCAGAGACGCCGAAGAAATCAAAATACGAGGACTCAGCGTTTGGGATTGCAAAAATCTGCTACGATTAACCTATCCGACTGGGATGATGCAGAGGTCATAGAATGAACATGAGAATTGAAGGAGTAATGCTGAAGCGGCCTCTTCGGGATAGGTATTAGGCTTGGCTGTCCGCTGGCTGTAATAATGCACCAAGACTTCTCAGCGGCCCAATGGCTTGAATTTTCTTGATGGCTTTCCTGGCTTCACTAAGGATATCCTGCGCAACGTCCGCCTCTGACCGACCAGCATTAATAACGCAGACATTTGCGGGGTCCTCTCTCTCGATAAATGTTTGAAATAGTTGCCGTACTCGAGCCTGAAGAATATCATTCTCATATCTTTCCAGACCATAGCCACCTCTCCTTGCGGCTTCCTCCGGGGATATATTCAAGAAGAGCCATATATCGGGTTGCGGCAAGCCGATCTCTGGCTGCCAAGCCCAGTCCAACGACAGGCCGGGGACATCTTTAGCTGCAGAATAGACAGCTCCAGAGTAGGAGTAGCGGTCGATAATGATACTGATGCCGTTTGATATATCCTTTTGTATCTCCTTAGCTGCCTCCCATCGGTTGGCGGAGAAAAGAAGATGGATTGAATGGTCATCCAACTGTGAGTCTCCAACCAAATAGGCATTGATCAGTTTTCCTATCGCCGTAGTTCTATCTACGCATTTGTGTTAGTTCTCATTTTAGGTAATACAATAAACAAATGGAACATAAGCAAGTACCTGGGAATCGCCGGTACTTGACTTCATGCCCCTCTCGCTGTAGAGTCTTCTGCAACAATGCGCATTGCGTCGATTTGCCAGCCCGATCCAAGCCCTCTACGACGATGAGAGCACCCCTTTGCGTTTTATTTCCTGGTGGCCCAGCTTCCATCACAAAATAGCCTTTTAGTTATCGTTTTATCTATGCATAGAAATGTACTGTCCAGAGCAATTGACTAACATACCCCGTATCCAAGGCTGTTTGTTGTTCGTGTTGTTGGAGAGAGGTTAGATGACCGCAGCGTTTCCTGGCGTAACTAACTATAACTAGTTAGTTAACTACAATAACTGAGTTAGCACAACCAACGTTCTGTTGTATGCGACTTTAACTAACCGAGATCTTAACTACACGTGGAGCACGTGACGGCTTCGTGGAACGGAGCACTGATTTATTCGTTGTGTCCAGAGATCCCTTACCATCATCACCGAATTTTCTTTTTTCTTTTCCTTTCTTTTTCCTTTTTCCTTTTCTTTTTTTTTTCGTTATTCCTAAATTATGCAATCTGAATTGCTTGCTGAACTCCCCGATGAGATGTTCAGCTTCAGCCTCCTGGGTTCTCCGCCAATTCTTCTCGCCCCGCGACTAGGCAGATTGGCTCTGCTCGGGAGAAAAGCAATACAGACACCAAACTTTGTCCCTATAACTTCTCGAGGTGCATTGCCTCATGTATCTCATGACTTGATGAACGAGCAGCTGCCAATCAGCAGTCTGTATACTGCTTTCGAGGATTGTGAGTTTCGTCCATCCAGGCGACTAAATCTCAACCGTTGCTCGGCACCCGCCATTAAACTGACAATACTGCTCATTGGAGCAGTTTAGTTGCAGAAAGGGGACAAAGAGACATGCTGCCGATATACGCAACTCCTGTGCAGCCGTTCGAGTCCGCCCTTCGAAAATTCATATGTCAACGGGAAGATCTGTTGTTGATTTTGGGTCCACGACGAGTTCCGCCCGTGCCATGTCCAACTCCAAATGCCTCGAATTCTGTAACGATATTGACCTCAGTTGGGTTCCGTCAATTAGAAACTGAACAATATGTAGAAGCTATTCAGAAATTACAGCCCGATATAGCAGTCGGGCTATCAGATTTACCGAGTAAGCCCCCTGGGGTTAAGCGACGAGACCGGATGGTAGACAGGACGCATGCATGGACAAGAGATGCAGTGGAAAGGCTATATGGTTCTCAGAGTGAAAAACAGACGACAGCATTATTTCTTGCGCCTGTGCTGCCACTGGACAAGGAGCAGCAGAAATTTTACCTTGAGGATTTGGAGGATGAAATGAAGCCAAATGTGGCTGGCTTTGCACTCTACTCACCGGAAAGTTGCTCCGTGATACCAGAATCTATGGCTGCGCTTCTGCGTTTGGCATTAAGTGAAACTAAAACGCCACAAGAGATCCTAAAAGAGGTTTCACTGGGTATCGATCTGTCAACCGTGCCGTTTATTGGAGACGCTTCGGACGCGGGTATTGCTCTCGACTTCACTTTCCCGAGTCCAACAAAAGGTGCTGAGTCGGGCCTAAAGCCACTGGGATTTGACATGTGGCCAGCTACACATGCGCTGGATATGTCGCCCCTTGTGCAAGGCTGCCCGTGCTACACATGCCAAAAATTTACCCGCGCATACATCCGGCACTTATTGCATGCGAAAGAAATGCTTGCATGGACGCTCTTGCAAGTACATAACTATCTTGTCATGGATAACTTCTATGCCGCAATTAGAGATAGTATTGCCAAAGGCACGTTTGCGGAAGAGGCACAGAAATTTGAGCTTACATATGACTCAGGGCTACCCCAACAAACTGGCCAGGGGCCTAGGTATGTAAAATCTATGGTCTAATATGTCCTGACTCTTAGCCTATCCAGCAATACATGATTCCGGGTGCCCGCACTAAGATTATAAATTATGCAGAATACGCGGGTACCAATTCAGAGGCGAAGCAGGTGCTAAGCCCTCAAATCCGAAGGCGTATGGTCGCCTGGACCATGTTACGAACAATGTCACACAATCGGAGTCCTCACTAGCGAGTGCAGATGTTGATACGGATGAGATGTTAGGTCAGGGTTTCGCGGAGAAACCTGTGTGAATGAGGCTTGATGCATCGTTTTTCCTCAGCTTCTGTCGAACCTCATGCACCTAGATATATGCTAAGCATTGGATGTTGAAGATTTAGAGCGACGAATTCTATTGATAAGTCATATAGTGACATACAATTATATCACGATCTGCTTCATTGCCGTAATCTCATTCATTCAACCATGGAGGTTTAGAGGTATATGTGGAAATTTTACGAGTCGGAACCACCGGTTAAGTAACCAAGCCACTACCATTGATCTCCGATCCGGCCTAGCTCGGTCATGCGACCAGGCCTGACGTCGTCCACCAATACAATCCTCAGATTCCTCAGATTCCTACAGATAATACTCTGTACGGAGTTGATCTTACAGCAGCTGCAGTGTCTTCAAGCTACCTTTTTAGCCTTAAAGATAGAGAGGAGCTCAACAGTGGGACCCTAAGCACTGCGACTAAGCCATCTCCGCTTCCCGAATCAACTAGTTGAGCTTTCCAGGGGTTATCCTAGCTGTTGGTGGTCACTGCTGGAGTATTCTTGCTAGCAAAAGCTTTCCAACAAGTGAAGGCGCTAAATTTGTCCACGAATATAGCTTTGTGATTACGATTTTTAGGTCTGAGCACCATCATGTCTGCAAGTTCTGCACATTCGCCACCACATCGCCAATATGATGCGGGACAGAGCTTTTGGCAAACCGAATACTCTTGATGAGATCGATACATCTGGGATGGCAGATGAAGCCCCGAATGCTTCGGAATATCATTAAAAACATGCTACTCTAGGTATTTAATCCTACCCACAGAGTGGTATGCTTTTAGCATTGTGCATTAGACGTCCTTGGAACGATAAAACCGATCCTTTGGGAAATGGTTCCTATTGATATACTATGTCTAAAGCAGCTGGCTAATGCATTTTCCTGTGATAGCCATTGCGGGCATCGTCAGGTTTGATGTCGACATCTTGAAGCAGTTGATATGAATAAGCGAGATAGTGTCATCATAGCTCTCAAGGGTAATTTTCGCGATATTCTTCAAGGTCAGGCTGATGTTCACTTTGCGTGCAACATACGATAAGGGGGAAAGTAATAGTAAGAATGGAGAAATACTTGACGAATGGGTGTATCTGATTAAATTCCCAAATAGATGTAGATATGTCTAACAACATACCCCACTGTCACTCAACTGCCATTAAATGTACAGTTTCCCAGCATAGCATCTCAAAAAGCGGAGAAGAACAACTGAGGATCGCTCAATAAAGGCGTGTCAGCCATTGCCGGTCTGGAATGAAAATTTATGAATATGTCCCAGAACATCAACATTGCTCCATCCGAGACCGTATTTATTCAATAGAGCCCAGTTGGATTGGCTTCGGTATCTTCTTTCCCTGCAAGCACTCTCCATAAGAACTTCTCCGCCTCAGAGGCTTCTTTACCCCCGCATCCAGCACCGAATTTCTGACCGACCACACAGATCAGCCAAGCGTCCTTTTTAAGTTGGTCTAGCAATTGCTCCGTAGGACTCCCACGACGGAAAATGCGTCTCCATTCATCCCAAATACGAAACGCTTCATGCCCCCAGGCGCGGAAACTCACTTCTTCAATGATCGTGGGAGTGATTATCTCTTTGCCCTTGAACACGCCCCATGTAACAGCGTTGACCCCATTGCTGCTTGCTGCACCATTATAATCAGGAACGGCGTCGTCAAGGCCGGTGGTCCCTGTGAAAGAAGAGGACGACTGGAAGTCACCAGAAGCATTAGTTGCAAACCATGAGAGTTCGTCTTGGCCATGACGTTTAAATATTGGTTTCAATATCTTTTCAAAGTCTTGTCCTGAGCAAAAGAATTCGACAAACGCTTTTTGGAAAACGAATCCCTCGCCGCGCGGACCCCAGCCGAAAATTGGATGATCGCTACGTACTCCATTTACCGCAGGTTGAGACGCGAGCGTCCACCATCCGCGTCCGTCTATGAGCTGGAGGAGTTCTTCGCGAATAGTAGCAGTCTCTGCATTCAAGCCACCAGAATCCTCTGCACTTCCACCCTCTGACCAGGGTACTATGTGAAGCTCACCAGACACATGGCAGTGGAAAAGTTTGTTAATGTCTTCTCTAGATGTTGGATATCCCCATAATTGACGCGCTACATTGGCATTGACGTGTAGCGATGGCCCGTATCCATCAATTTCTCCGAAAGCCGGGGATCGTGCATCGCCCCAGCGGCCATTTGGAAAATCGTCCCAAGTCGCTTCCCGTCCCAGTGCACCCATGCCTTCAGATATTTGTAGCGCTGTGGATTGATGCGGAGGATTAAGGGCTAGCATGCCGGCACCTAGAGCTTGGGTCTCATGCGTAGTAGAAGTTTGGGAAGAGGGGGCCCCAATCGATAAAGAGGCTGGGTGATCGACAATTAATCGGTTATGAGGTTGGGAATTTAGGGATGAAGCTCTTCTTTTTGATATTAGGGGAACGCCATTTTTCATTCCCGGGGCTATGAAAACTGCCGAGTCCAACTCGGTATCTGAATCGCTTGAAGGTTCGGATGATGTGGGTATAAGGTTACATCTCTCGACGATAAAGGCGACTGCTTTTTCTAAATTAAGGGTATAGAAATGGAGCCCGCGTGGACCAGGGCAAGGAAGGTTCTTTATCCCATTGACAATCTCGCAAAGAATATCGATACCGATTTGCTTCACTGCCTCATCGTCCGCTTTAACTTCTTCCACACGCGCCATGATGTCAGGAGGTACTTTGGCATGGCTGAGTTTCGTGGTCCTGGTTAAAATATGATAGCTCTGTATGGGCATCAAACCAGCGATGATAGGGATAGTTTTGAAAACTCCTGATTCATGATTTCGGAGCATCTCCTCAAATCGCTTATACGCTTCCAAATCGTAGATCAGTTGGGTCATAATAAAGTCGGCCCCAGCCTTTCGTTTTTCCACCAGATATGGGAGATCTCTCGCGGGATCCTGCACCTCAGGATGTGATTCATCGGAATGTCCTTCCGGATATGCTGCTACTCCGATACAGAAATAATCGCCATACATACGACGTATGTACCTCACCAAATCAACTGCATGCGTAAAGTCTTTGTTACTGTCATCTTCTCCGTCGATATTATACTCTTCGCTGCGTGGAGGATCGCCACGCAATGCCAGGATATTTCGGATACCCAACGCATTGGCTTCTGCAAGCGCATCATCCACCAGTGTCCTGTTCATATTCGTACACGTCAAATGCAAACAAGTGGTAAGTCCTAGTTGGCGCTGGCACATCTCCGCGAGTTCGAGAGACTTAGACACCGTGCTTCCACCAGCGCCCCATGTAACATTCACGAAAAGTGGTCGAAGGGCTTGGGACATGCGCTCCAGACGGGCTTTGAGATTTAAAAATCCCTATAGAAAATAACTGATTAGCCTTAGCGAAATGAAACGGGGAGTATGGGACGGGGCGGCGGGGGAATTAATGGAAATTTGCCAATCCGAGTGTGACGTACCATCGGGGTCTTCGGAGGGAAAAACTCGAGAGAGAAGTAGTTCGCATCCTGAGGCAGAGCAGCTATTTTATCTGATATTCTCTCCATGGCTATTGTTGCTTTTGTGGTTGTTATTGTTGTCGTTGTCTTTCGCTGGGATGAGGTTGGTCGTCAGCAAGACGTTTAAGAAAAATGCCCCCCCGTCTCGGTTCGAGGTCGAAGATTTCCGTGCCTCTCGCCAACCACCACAAATCTTGTCGGTCAAATCGACATATAACCAGTTACTAGGTACCTACTTAACAAACTACACAGTGACAACCAGAACTATTATATTTCTTGTCAAGTAAACCCTGCATGATTCTCTAAAACCCAAACTTTACAATCCTAGCGTTTATTGAGTGGTATATTTATATGTGCCCCTTACGATGCGTCCAAGATGCTAACTAGCAGTCTGCGAATGCCTAGGGTGGGATCCGAGCAGACAAGCTGCATCCGACTGCTGAGATTGGTTTCAACAACATCGCGTTCTGCCGTGACGGTTCGTTCTCTCATTATCTAGCGAGATACCTTGCTAGCCAGCGGTCCTAGCTTAAACCTGGGTCAAAGATTGTATTTTGGGCGGAAAACCCTTGAAACCCTGGCTCAATGTCCGGCCTTATTACTGCCAGGTGTTCCACGGAACTGGTAGATTTAAAAGGCCAAACCCAATGTTTAACAGGTCGGGTTGTTCTACAAATACCTTCATGGTGGGGTATCTTGACCTTTAGGTTGGATCTGAGTTAGTTAGCTGAACTGATTAACTCGAATTATCCTTAAACTCCAATTTTGACCAGCTAGTCAAGGACCAGAGCTAGTTGGTAATATATCCCCAGAGATGGAGCATAGCACTTCTCTGTGCCTTGCTATCTTGAATTTTACCGTTTTCAAACGAGTCAGACAACATCCATTCGCTTGCACACAGTGTGTCTTACACAAATTACCCCTCTTCGAGGACAGGTTCAAGGAAGATGACATAAGTGGCGCAAGTTAACTAAGGACTGTGAGCGGCAGTTATCGCCAAATCTTGATGCGCTCATTTCGAATGCACATCTTTCGTGGATAGAGGGGAAGAGCTCCTGATCCATCAACACGACTTTTAGGATCGGATATAAATTCGTCAATATTATGCCATTTGTTTTCTTCGCATTGTTGTGTTTGTGTTGTGAGCAAGGCCAAACCCAGATTGGATTTATGGGCGAATACAATCAGGCCTTTTCGGATCTTAAGTCTCCACGATAGTAATATATTAGCACCAGTGGTTTCCTGTCTGCTATATGCGTCGCCGTTTAAACACTGCTCCTACTTGACATTCGCATATCCTATGTACCCACATTTACACTGCCAGAGAGCTGGTGCCCAAGTTCTTCCCTCTAGGACACCGTTGATGCAAAATCAAGATAGCGTAGAAACTTTTAGCGGGGTGGTTGAACATAGGGAGGTTTACTAGACAAAGCTCCCACGGACGACATAGTTAAAAACCAAAACAAAAGCGTGTTTCAATTCTGTAACTAGGGAAAGGTGGATTTGCCAATTACCAGCCATTCAAACAGCAGCAAAATCAGGTCCGGGTTGGATATTCTGCCTACGACAATAGCAATACGGCAACGCTCCGCTCCGCACATGAAATTGTCAATCAACCAAAAACGGGGGAGAAATCAGCCCCCCGGGCCGATAGAGGCTAGCATGGAGAGGTTAAACCCAATAGAGTTAGTCCGGCGAGTTTGACCGCAATCGGACCAATCACACAACGGTCCGTGGGTGCTGTGGGGCCAACCTTAAAAGACATTAGCGACCTGCAAATCGAAGGGTTCCTGAGCCCCACAACTTGCCAACTGCTGACCAAACCATCATCGGTTTCCAAGATAGTCTGACAAATCCCACTTAAGGACATCCTCATAGTGGTGGTGGTATTGCTTCTGAGTTCCCTTTGTTCAGCGCGGAAGCAGTGGAATGCGAAGGGTATGCAGGTTTGAACAATGGAACTATTAAGCTCCGGAAAGTGGCGTCTACAATGGTTAGGTGGGGAGGGGGAGTTCGATGAAGCCCCGCCAATCAAGCCCCGCCAATCAAGCCCCAACTGGTTGCTTTGGATTTTTTGGCTAGGACTGGTGAGAGTGAGTTTGTCTCTGGGCACGGACGAATTACAAGTCGAAAAGGGGTGCTCCAGCACCGTACCTATCTGATTAGGGAAGTATTTCATCCATCCCAACAATAGGAATGCCCTAGGAATTATGTTCGCATTGTCTCCATTCCACGTACCGGGTCGGATTGGGAAGTAGGCCGGATTCGGTGCTGGGACCAGCCCCATTGCTGCAGGAGATGCTGCATGTAGGTAGTTAACTCTATGTTAATGCGACAGAACCTCGTGAATTGGAATGCACATAGCCTATTCCTGATTGCTAGCACTTCTCTGTACTTTATGGTGGCTTGGATCACGTATCGTGTGAGGAGTATATATCGCTCCTTACCTCCCCCCCTTCGTCTTGCTAGCCCCTCGTCTTGCTAGTATTCCTTGACTTCAATTTATCAAATCACCCCCAAGTCCAAGGTTCCCTTCTTAACAAGTTCATGAGAACAGATCTTGACGCCACATAGCCAGCCAAAGCCCTTCAACGACCATATCACCCACCCGAAACACTATGGCAGCCGACGCAGAGCCTAAGTCCAAGTATGCACACTTTGCCGAGCCTCATCCTGTCTTTGAAACTTTCAAAGAAGAGGCTAGCAAGCCCATTGATGCAATATATGCCATCAAAGATATGGACACATTCAAAGCTGCATGGAACGCATTCCCACCTGCGGTTTTTGATGATGGGCCCGTTGTTGGCCAAGACATCACCGTCGAGCATATAAACATACCAGTGAGCGATGGCACCTTGATGGAACTCAGGATTTATAAGCCAATCAATCCCGTGCCGACATCCACTTTATTCTTTGTATCACATGGTGGAGGTGAGTAGAGTTGGTCAACCGTGTGATTTCCCGAATTCCATGGAGGGGTTCCAAGATGCGTTTCTAACTCTATACATTCCAGGATGGACGATATGCACTCACGACGTCGAAGAGGCGCAGAATAGGCAGGTCGCCAAGGATAACAAATGCGTTGTCGTGAGCGTGGAGTATCGAAAATGCCCCGAGTTTCCGTTCCCATACCCGTTAAATGACTGCTACGATGCGTTGCTCTGGGTATGCCACAAATGGCCCCTGAGGCCGGTGGAAAAAAAAAAAAAAACTTTTAGTCTATGAATTCTAACCAATGGTATAGTGCAAATCGAATGCCTCAACCCTCGGTATCAACCCGGAGAAGATTATCCTAGCAGGCACAAGTGGCGGTGGAAATCTTGTAAGTTTCTTACACCACCCGTTCATCAATCCGGCAAATAATAACAGTTCGCAAGGCGGCTTGTATCGCACTGAAGGCCCGAGATGAGGGAGTCACCGGAATTATTGGCCAAGTCCTCAACATGCCAATGATATGTCACCCAGACCTATTCCCGCGCGACAAATATGAATATAGGAGCTGGGAAAAGAATGAGAATGAGGCCGTCGCATCGTCCTCAAGAGCCCTATTCCACTGGAATTTGTATCTTCCGGAACTGAAGCCGGACGCCTATGCAAATCCCATCCTGGCTGAAAGCCATGCAAATCTCCCTCCAGCCCGTAAGTGAAACTAATACTCGGCATATATAGATTTATTCAATACGTTTCAACTAACAACTATTTTTGCATAGTCATCCAAGTAGCCGGTCTCGATCCCCTGCGTGATGAAGCTTTTGCCTACGGGGAGGCCCTGAAGGCAGCTGGGGTTCCGGCGACCGTGAAGGGATTTGTCGGGCTCCCGCACGCGTTTTATTTCTTCCTCCAACAGCTGAACAAGGAGTCCAGGGAGTATATCCAGAACATTGTTGATTTTGTACAGGACGTCGAGAAAAAATCGATACCTATATAGTTTAACGTGCTGCCACCCCATTTGGTGTGTACAGAGCTGTCTGGTTTTATTTGGAAGAATACGATATAAATACGGGGATGGAAGGAGACAAGGGTTATAGCATTGTAAATGGGTTAAATCAAACAAATATTAAAAATGGCCTATACGGGTTCCTAGAGCCGGTACCACATACATTCGAGTACTCATTCCAAGGCTGCAAAAACAGATCCGCTGCTAATTAGCAGTTAATCTTCATTTCAGCCCTGGAAGCCTCCCCGCAGTTAAGAGAAGCCGAGCCGCATGCAAACGAAACAAACATCTCGTATTCGCTGCCTTATGCGATCTTGAGCCTCTCCTCCTCGACATAGCAGAATTCACTGCCTTCCGTTCGTGTGTTAATTCATCCATTCTCTTTTACATATCTCTACGCCCATTGAAGTGCGCTATAGGCATAATTTTCCGCCCTCACCTCTCTAATTGAACCTGTTCTCGCTATAGATTAACAAGTCACTGATTCAATCATCGAACCACCATATCTTCATACCGTCCCGATAATGCAAAACCAATAACTCCTTTTTAATAAACAAAGAAAAACAACTAAAAAGGCGCGAGAGGGGGAAGAAGGAAACAGAATGCCTCTCCGGACCCCTATAGCACCAACTATCCCTCTGCAACGCCCGCTCCGCGCTCGGTCCATCCACCAAACCATCTCCCGCCAGCAATTCTCCACCACCCCACCCCCACCCCCACCCCCACCTCCATCCTACCCCAATTCCTCCCGCCTCCGCACACGCCTCCAAACCTTCAACAACCGCCTCCCCCGCCTCCTCAGACTTTACACAACCCCTCTTCTCAACGCGCCAGTCACACACGTCACTTCCTTCCTAATCCTACATGAGATCACAGCCGTAGTACCACTTCTAGGTTTGACGGGGGCATTTCATTACGGGGGCTGGATTCCATCGTTAGGAGATGGGAAGGTAGATGAAGGGGTGCGAAAATTTGGGAGGTGGTTGAGGAGGAAAGGGTGGGTTGGAGCGGAAGCGGAAGTAGAGGCGGAAACAGTGATAGAAATGGAGAGAGATATGAAAGGCAAGGCTTCTGAGGGGCGGGTTGGGCTTGTTGAGTGTAGGGATAGAGGGGTGAGGTTGGTCTTGGAGTTTGCGACCGCATATGCTATTACGAAGGCCTTGTTGCCTGTGCGGGTCGTGCTTAGTGTTTGGGCTACGCCGTGGTTTGCTAGAGTTTTGCTTGAGCCTGTGGGGAAGGGGGTCGGGAAGGTATTTGGCAAGAAGGGGTAGATGTGAAATGGACCTTTGGTTTTAGCCAGATTTTTGGCCATGGCTGTGGTCAGGTTGGGGTATTTATATGAAAGGGTATGAATTGGAGTTTTATATTGTGGAATGTAAAACATTTGTCTATATTCTTGTCGTCGTGTCATTAACTGACATCACATCATTTAGGGCAGGTACGCTAAGTTGCTAAGTTTATAGATCTACTCGTAGATCCAGTTGGCCTGGCTCTGCTCATACTTCACGAGCTCCTCAGGCTTGAACCAAAGGGCAATTTCCTTCTTAGCGCTCTCGACACTGTCGGATCCGTGGCAGACATTGCGACCCACGTCCTACGAAGTTTGGTTAGAGCTATAGCGGAAAACCTGCGGGTCTCAAGTTGCTTGCTGGTCACTTACAATTGCGTAGTCACCGCGGATAGTGCCCGGTGCAGAGTCCGCCGGGTTTGTTGCCCCAAGGATGGCTGTTGACCAGGAATGTTAGAACATCGATGGTGGAAGGAAGAATTGGGTATACACATACTACGGCCAGTCTTGACGACGTTACGGCCCTCCCAGACCATGGCGCAGATGGGGCCACTCAGCATATCTAACGAATTATCAGCATAACGTCGTCATTTGGGAGAAATGGTTCGACCCTTTGTGATGGGAATAGCGGGGTATACTAACAGCTGACGAGGCCGTTGAAGAAAGGCTTGCTAGAGAGATCCTCATAATGCTTCTCGAGGTGCTCCTTTGAGGGCGTGACGAGCTTGATGGCAGCAAGTTTGAATCTGCGGCCCGTTAGAACATCAGAACATTGCGTCCCGCGTATTCTCTCCGTCAGGTACAGTTCCCACTCACCCGCGGTTCTCGAAGCGGGATATGATAGGGCCAACAAGTCCGCGCTGGGAACGAGGAATGTCAGTATTCAAAATGAACAAGAAGGTCGTTTGGTAACATATGGTGGATGTAAGGAAATAACGGGTCTATTTGCTGGTCATACCTGGACTCCATCGGGCTTGATAGCAATGAAACTGGAGAGCGGTCAGAAAATATTAATGCATACGCTCACGAGGAGGGAAACCAGGAACAGGGAACAGAAAAACACCAACATACGTTTGTTCTGAGGCAGACATGTTGGTTTAATAGAGGTATCACCAAAATATCCGTAGAGATCTGTTATGGATGTTCAATGGCTGTGGTTTGTATAGTTAGTGGTGAAAAATATGTTTGGTGGGGGAAATAAATTAGCTGCTTTAAATTATTCTGCCGAGGGCGGTGGGCCGTGGTGGTGTGGTCGCACAGAGCAATCTTAGCCGGGACATGCCAAACAGGCATGTTGAGACGAGGCAACCTTCGCCAAACCTTGGAATTGCCAGACGACGTCCGCTATCCGCATACAAACAACACCCAGGTTGCAATTGGACTCCAGAACAGTCTAAGGTTTAATATCCAGCTAGCTGAGGGTTTGTATGCTACGGGATTGAAGGTATTTTACATGATTTGCTTACAATTCTACATGTCTTGAACTTTCTGGTTATCGAAACCCGAGTTTCCACGAGAGTACACCACGTATCCAGAGAATCCGTCATCATAATGGCAGCGTTCACGCCTTCGCCCACTGGATGGACGTTGTGTCTGGCCATTTTGGCTATTCTTTCATGTCTAGTTGCTCCTGGAGGTTTGTTGATGATTATTTACCCTGGATTAATCAAGCAATTGGATCTCTAACGCCTTTTACCTTTGTCCAGAGATGGTCAAGCACGAAAACTTCAAGACATGTTCACAGTCCGGCTTCTGCAAGCGAAATAGAGATTATGCCGATTATGTCTCTAACAAAGGCTCGTCATGGTCCTCTCCTTACCAACTAGAATCCAGCTCTATCAGTTTTTCTAAAGGCCAATTGCTTGGAAACATCATCAAGACTATAGAGAACAACAAGAAGGTTAAGCTCCCTCTCACCGTATCTTTCCTAGAGTCAGGAGTTGCCAGGATCACAGTGGATGAAGAGAAACGGAGGAAGGGAGATATAAAAATACGACATGGGAGCAATATCAGAAAGGAACGTTATAATGAAGCTTCGAAATGGGCAATTGTTGGAGGATTAGAGCCGAGCTCTTCGGCTGAAATTGTCAAGGGGACTGAAGCTGGCGTTACGACGGTCAGTTATGGGCCCGACAAGAAGTTTCAGGCGGTTATCAGACACTCTCCTTTCGAAGTGCACTTCCAAAGGGATGGCGAAACGCACATCCAACTCAACGACAAGGGACTCTTGAACATCGAGCATTGGAGACCTAAGGTTGAGAAGCCCGAGGGATATGATAAGGAGTCGACGCTACAGGATGATGCAGATAACAACAGTTGGTGGGAAGAATCATTTGGTGGAAATATCGATTCAAAACCAAGAGGCCCCGAGAGTGTTGGTTTGGATATTTGTTTCCCTGGATACAAGCATGTGTTTGGAATTCCAGAGCATGCCGATTCCCTTTCTCTAAAAGAGACGAGGTATGCTTTTCTTTTCTTTTCTTCTTAAAAAAAACCATCGTACTTCATGAACCTGCTAACTCTTACTTTCAGGGGTGGCTATGGGCAGCACACTGAACCGTACCGTTTGTACAACAGCGATGTGTTTGAGTATGAACTGAATAGCCCAATGACACTCTATGGATCCATCCCTTTTATGCAAGCACATCGCAAAGGGTCCACTGTGGGTGTGCTGTGGTTGAACGCCGCAGAGACTTGGGTCGACATTATCAAAACCAAGGCTTCAACAAATCCTCTCGCACTCGGCGTGACAGGTAAAATTAGCACACAAACTCATTGGTTCTCAGAAACTGGTCTACTCGATGTTTTTGTGTTCTTAGGCCCAACACCTCATGCGCTCAGCAAGAAATATGGTGAACTTACCGGTTTCACCCAGCTACCCCAACATTTTGCGATCGGATATCATCAATGTCGCTGGAACTACGTAACTGATGAAGATGTGAGAGACGTTGATAGGAAATTTGACTTGTATCAAATCCCTTACGATGTCATCTGGCTCGACATTGAATATACTGACCAAAAGAAATACTTTACTTGGGATCCTCACACTTTCCCAGATCCGGATGGCATGCAGAAGCAGCTCGATAATTCGGAACGCAAACTCGTTGTAATTATCGATCCTCACATCAAAAACGAAGCAAACTATCCGATTGTAGATCAGTTGAAGTCCCAAGGGCTGGCTGTGAAAAATAAAGAAGGGAATATATATGACGGGTGGTGCTGGCCTGGATCTTCGCATTGGATCGATTGTTTCAACCCGGCTGCGGTATCGTGGTGGACTTCGCTCTTCAAATATGACAAATTCAAGGGTACTCATTCTAATGTGTTCGTATGGAATGATATGAACGAGCCTTCGGTCTTTAACGGCCCAGAGACAACGATGCCAAAGGATAATATCCATTATGGAGGTTGGGAGCATCGTGACCTGCACAACCTTAACGGCATGACGTTTATCAACGCTACCTACAACGCTCTATTAGAGCGTAAAAAGGGCGACGTCCGCAGACCATTCGTCCTGACACGATCCTTCTTTGCTGGAACGCAGCGTATGGGAGCCATGTGGACTGGTGACAATCTGGCGGATTGGGCTCATCTTGCTGCATCACTCCCAATGATCCTCAACAACGGCATTGCCGGATTTCCCTTTGCGGGCGCTGATGTTGGCGGCTTCTTTGGTAACCCGAGCAAAGAGCTGCTTACGAGGTGGTACCAGACTGGAATATTTTATCCCTTCTTCCGTGCTCATGCGCACATTGACACGCGCAGGCGTGAGCCGTATTTAGCCGGAGAGCCATATATGAGTATCATCGCTCAAGCTCTACAACTAAGATACCAGCTACTCCCGGCATGGTATACCGCTTTCCAACAGGCTTCTGTTGACGGTTCCCCCATCGTTCGCCCTCAGTATTATGTTCACCCCGATGATGAAGCGGGCTTCGCTATTGATGATCAATTGTACTTAGGGTCCACGGGACTGCTTGCCAAGCCAATTGTGGCTGAGGGCGCCAACAGCACGGATATCTACCTTGCCGATGACGAAAATTACTACGATTATTTCGACTACACCATCTATCGGGGCGCTGGGAAGAAACACACCGTACAAGCTCCGTTAGAAAAAATTCCTCTCCTGGTGCAAGGTGGCCATATCATCTCACGCAAAGATCGACCTCGCAGGAGCAGCGGACTGATGAAATGGGACCCATACACCCTCTTTATTACACTAGACAAGAACGGCCAAGCTGAAGGAACACTGTACATTGATGACGGTGAAACATTTGACTATCAGGATGGAGCTCACATTCACCGCCACTTCTCGTTCTCTGGGTCGACATTGACGTCCAGAAGTATCGGGACTGAGGGGCCCAAAAGCGCACAGTACCTGAAGACGATGGCAGGGGTGCATGTGGAAAAAATCATCATTGTTGGCGCTCCAGATGCGTGGGAGGCAAAGTCGAGTGTCCTTGTCCTTGAGGAAGGGGTTCAGACTGGGTCCCGCAAAGCGAGCTTGCAGTGGCATGCTAAACAAGGCGGGAAGGCTGCCTTTGCTGTGGTCAAGAACCCCGGCGTATCTATTGGAAACTTATGGAAAGTGGATTTTTCTTAGTTCGCCTTTTACACGGCTCTTCTGGGCATGCTGATGATTCAGTCACTCTCCCGTATCGGATTCCGTTGAGTATCATGCCATCGATAGCTCCATTTTTATGATATTTTGTATAGATTCTATATCTTACATTTCCATTTCATTATTTCCTTTTCGGTTTCTCCTTTCTTATCTCAGTGTTCATACCAATGCAAAAGAGAAAATATAACGCCTATAATTACAATTATCGGTCTGTGTTACCCATTTTCCTTCCTGGCACTTTTTCATCATTCCCTTCAAAACTAGGGCTCTCGAGAGCAATGTGTGTCCCTACACGGAGGGTCGCAATATTAGCAACTGAGCATCAGTCGTTAGACGTGAGAGAAGATTGCAGATTTTACATTGCAAAAGCAGATCGTGGCCTCCATCCCTTTACATGCTCAACTTGGTGGGGACGATGTAGAGGAGCGCTTCTAATTGCTGTTCCCTATCTGGAATAGACCGTGAATCCAATTTTATGTCAATTCATAATGACACCCAGTCAGGAAATGACTTCTTTATATCAGAGCATTATGCATACATGACCATACATATGAAAACGTTTCAGTCATGCCATGCCGCAGGTACCAGAGTGACCTCGGCATTCCTGTGTGTTCAATTATATAGATTAAGGATGTCGCTGTTAAAGCTTGTCACAGATTTTGATTTAACTAGTCCTCTAGAGCTTATGCTTGGAAACTCGGCTCTGCTTTATGGTTAAAACCGCTTCCCTGGATCATGGTGCTTTGAGATATATTTTGGCCAAGCTGTCCCGGGCATTGCCGGTAGCTTTGGCATGCTTTCTAGTATCAGGAGTCGCTATTAATTCCTATGGACCTGATATCCCATATTCATAGCCATCTTCTCCGCATCACCATGCTATAAATTCCTTGCCATTCCTGTTCGTCACAGAGGGTGTCATCAAGCATCCACAATGACCCAGAAAACCAACTTCATCTACCTCGCCCTGTTACTAATTCCCGGGATTTGGTTGTCTTCCCCTTGCTGAGCATTGTCAAGCAGTTCTTCTACAATGGGAGGGTGGAGGCTGCAGGCGGAATCCACACACCAGTCTCCTCCAATAACCTTTTTACGCGTGAACTTGTCTCCTTCTTCTCTCTTCCCATGAAATACTGAGAAAATGAACTGTATCTCACGGTCTACAGGTTCTGAAATTGGTGCTGGAGACCGGAAACGCATTGAGAAATAATAACTTGCTTGGAAATTTTAATGACAGTCTTGACGAATTTGGAACTGCCGCATGCCCTAATTGCTTCGAGGTGAATTTTAAGGGGAAACCAGCGTTGCTTTCTTACCCGTGAGCCCGAGCATATCAAGGCCATCCTGACAAGTAAATTTGCAGACTAGAACAAGGGCACGGGGTCCCATCGTATGCGGTCTCCATTTCTGGGTGATAGTATCTTCACTACAGACGGGAAGAAATGGTCGACTAGCAGAAGCTTAATTCGGCCTATGTTCATCAAGAATCGAGTCAGTGATTTGGATATCTTCGAGCGGCTAAAGTCATGATGAGTCTGTTTCCCCGTGCTGTAGAGGGATTTGACTTGATGGATCTGTTCTATAGATTGATCATCGACGTGACAACGGAATTTTTGCTTGGACAGGGAATCAACAGCTTAGAATGCCCGAAGGGGAACTTTGTGGATGCCTTTAAGGAGGTCCAAAGGTTTCAGATGCTTGTCACTGCAGTCAGGGTAACTAAGCACTCTGGCTGATATATAAAGACGAAACGATCGATGCTAGACGCCTTTTTCATCTACAGTACCATTCAGCATTTCTATCTTAGATCTACCTACAAACGTGCCATCAAAGTAATCGATAACTTCGTCCTCCCCTTCGTCCGGAAAGCCCTCCAATTTCCTGAAGATGAATTGCAACAACTAAGCCGCTCCGAGAGTTCTTTCACCTTCTTGCACTCCTTTGCCCTCTTCACCCGCGATCCGAAAATGATCCGTGATAAAATCGTTGCCATCCTCCTTGCTGGCCGCGACACAACAGCCTCCACTCTCCCCTGGACCTTCTATGAACTATCCAACTATCCCAAACTCTACGCCAAATTGCGCGTTGAAGTTCTCTACTTTGGGTGAAGTCCGCGCTCCCTCTTATGAAAACTTGAAAAACATGAGATACCTCTGCAATAATATCAATGAAATTCTGCGCCTGTATCCAGCGTTGCCTTTCAACAGTCGCACTGCACTCGCGGACACCGTTTTGCCGATTGGCGGTGGTCCGAACGATGATATGCCGATCACAGTACTGAAGGGTGATATCATTATCTACTCGACGCCGGCCTTACATAGGCGCAAAGATCTAAATCCGCCCGCCTCTGAAAGCTTTGCAGACCCAGGTATCTTCTCGCCGGGACGTTAGGAATCATGGAACCCAAAACACTGGATGTATTTGCCTTTCAATGGGGGACCGAGAATCTGCATTGGCCAAAACTTTGTAATAGCGGAGATTAGTTATGTGGTGTCTAGAGTGGTACAGAAATATGAACGTATTGAGTATGTAGGGAATTTGGGGGCACAGGAATATCGGATGGAGATTGTTGGGTGTCCGGATCAAGGGTGTTCCGGTGAGATTTTTTGACCCAGTGAGTAAGTAAGATGCAGTAAGTGACAGTGATAAGAAATGTTGAATTAATAAATATAGAGATGAATACTTTGTACTGTACGTCTGTACATGATGTGCGAGATATATTTTTATATTTATGATTGATGAAAGAAAGCGAAAATGGCTGTCGTTGCTTTCAGGTGAATTGATATCAGATGGATCGACGTGCCAGAATTGTATTGAGAATTTCTTGGTAGTCAGATTTGGTTTCATGCTTCTATTTCATTTCCCTGCAAAGTCGTCCCTTAAGAATTGTGTTCTTCATTGCCCAGAAATAACCGCCCTCTGTACAAAAAGTCCACCTGCTTGACATGAACTTCGCTAACAAGCCACTATTAGTTATCAGGTCAATATGGTAAGGTGAAAGCTTGTTCTAGCTTCTTTAGACCATGCTGGAAGATCTCCAAGGGAGTTTAAGGGCTGGTGCTAGGGCCAAGTAAAACAAATTCGGTGTGCTACAATATGTTCGGCATAACAGGTTTTGGCATGGGGTAAAACACCTCCAGATAAGTTCCCCCACGCCCCTGTGCAAAATGGTTGGTACACCAAGATCTTAGATCAAGCAGTCTACAAAAGGAACAAAAGTTGAAACAAAGCAGGTTCGATTTTAAAAACAAAAATTGTTCGTTATCTCAAAATAACAGCTGGACTAGGTGCCGCCGGCAACAGCCCGGTAATCGATGTACCGATGTACCGACAATAGAGTGATTGAGGACATTCGATCCAATGGTGACAGTGCTGTCCGTCACTCTACAAAGTTTGACCATTGGGAACCGACCCTTTTAAGCCTTCAGACGATGACATCCAAGCTGTAATCGCGAAGTCCCAGAGCAGACGATTAAAAATATCAAAGAGCCTCGAATCAATGTTAGTGCATTTGCTGCTAAGGCCCAGCGAAATTCGATTACCGATTTTAAAGTTGAGCTTCAGCCGAGGGTTCATCTGGGACAAAAAAATATTCCGATTAGTTCAGGGAGAGAGTATGTTATTGCCCATTGTTTTCCATTCAATCATTCATTCAAAGACTGTAAAGGTGTCTAACAATAAAGCTGCTGCAGGAGACTATGTAATTAGTTGCACACCTCCGATAAACGGGAAGGTACCTAAAGCAACAGTGGCTGCAATGTATTTGGCGTAGCGCTGACGAGATATTTATCCTGGAGGAGGTGAAGCGATTGCTGCAATGGCAATTGGCACAGATACAACGCGAAAAATAGGCTTTATTGCTGGCCAAGGAAATGTATTCGTCGCAGAAACAAAAAGGCAACTCTTGGAGAAATTAGCATCGATCTCTTTGCGGAAACCACAGAAGTCCTAATTGTAGCAGGCAACAAGGCGGATCGATTCACTATCGCAACTGACCTCCTTTAGCAAGCTGAACACAGCCCAGATTCCCCCGCTGTCATCATTACAACTGCAGAAGACACCGGGAAACTGGAAACCAGATACTTCAGGTACATTGATAAGCTCTTGAAAAAGTTTCTACAACAGCAATGACAAGTACATCATGCCATGCTTTCAAAATGAATGTGATTGTAGATAATATCGATGAAGTATATAGGCTCGCTGATGAATATGCATTCGAACATGTTCAGATTCTCACCCAACACCCGCGGGAGGCGGGCGTTAGAGAAGATTCGAAATTACGGTACCATTCTGAAGTGTCCAAGCCTCGGGAATGTGCGTTCAAAATACGGATATTTTGACTGATGTGCGTTATCCAGGTGTTCGGAACAACGTCCTCCCAACTCGCAAGGACGTCTGATAAACTGGGGTCACATATAAGGAAGTCAAGTCTGAGGAGGCCAGTGGGCACCTTGGCCGATTGTGTGGCCGGGCTGCAAGGGTAGAAACTTCAAAGGGCATGCTCACTCAGGTGATCTTAGAGCATACCATTATCTCAAGGATCAGCATGAATGGATAGAGCATGGTCATTCAATATCCAATACCAAAACCAATTCAAGGTTCCGCAGATTGGGAACCTGCAGTCGAAGAAAGAAATGCCGGGGTTTATTAGAAAAATATTCTCTTTTATTCAACTGGAGCTAACTGTGCCCCGACCTTCCTGGTGATCAAGGAAAGAAAGTTCCTATTTTTGACAGCATTACCAACTCTTGCTGGCCGACGAGGGGATGGTTCCGTTGCATACTAATGTGTGATTTGGATGTATAGAATGTGATGTATACTTTGGTAAGGTATCAAATGGTAAATCACAGATCGCAAATCACGTATAACCCAGGGCCGCTCACATCCCATGATTGGAGTTGCCCTTTGTTGCATAAGAATATGTTGAATGGGTTATGATAGAGATGAGGTTGATATAGATATGTTTTGAGGCTGAAGCCATGCCAAGACTGTGGGGCCAGCTTGGCAGGGATAATTGTATTAACTAATATATTATGTAATAAGGGTAACACTAATTTACGGCAGCCCCATCGCATCCATGGGACATTAGTTATCTTTGTCCGATTTTGTAATAACGAGAATAACTTCAAATCAGCTGTAAAACATGCTTATAACGGATGGATAAATCCCTTCGATCCCCTGTTCCACGTAAAGATTGACCGCAACCCGCAGACCACTCCCCGACTTCTCTTGTATGCATACCTTGAAAGCTCCGTGACCCGCATACTCGGAGGAAGTGGATCTGGATCGATGATCCCAATCCGGGACCTTTCAAATCCTCGACAAAAGCCTCAATCCTTAAAAGCCCCAATCCTTAAAACCCCCATTCCCCTCACCTCACAAAAGCCCCGTGGTTCTGCATATTTGCTGTTCATTCCGTGAAAGTCCTTCACGGCTCCTTAAAGAATCCCTCGTTCGGTTCTTATTTCCATAGAAATGAACCTGATATCTTGAAACCTACACCAATTGAGTCGCATTGCACGACGACGGCTTCGGTGTTAAAAAGGAGGATTTCAAAACGTCAACAGGAAGCGCAAATTTTAGCAACGATATTGAACGAATAACAGCGGAAGGGACATAATGTGGCTTACCACACTTATCTTTGACTATGCGGCGTCAGTTTTGTACGCACCCTGTCAAAACCCCAAGGATGTTATTCTAAATACTTAATTTCTCACATGAAACTTTTTGGCAGCCTCGTCCTTTCTCCCCTCACGTCGTATTCAGACCAAATATATAGCATACATAGGACGAAAAGTTCTGCTGGATTTTCGCTGGATATTCCATTGATAATGCTTGTGGCTTCGATATTAAAGTGTGTGGCCTGCTTTCCCTTGGCCCATTCCAGTTCTTCTCCTTTGGTCCCCAGAGGCTCATTTCCCTGGTCTAACGTTTTGCACTTTTAGAGTGTTTTACTGGTTTGGCGCTTATTATTCGCTCGCGCTCCTCTATCAGGCAATCATCATGATCGGAGTACAATTGGTTTTGCTAAAAGTGGCCCTGGATAATCGAGCGCCAGCTGGGATAAAGGACGGGATTGAACATCTACCGTTTAGTGGGCAATCGGCAGGAGGTCTGTCTGCGGGCTTCTCGAGACCATATAACTTTTGGCAGTGGAGAGCTAATAGGCCGTACGTTACTTTCGTAATCCTTTTATCACCCGTTTTTCAAGATTCATCTCCGTCATTTGAGTTTTTTTTCGACGCCTATAAAATTCGATAATCACTTGGCCTGAAACTTGTTTGCTTATGCTCTAATTTGCAGTTACTGGACATTCCTCTCCTATTTCGTCACATCCCTCTTTATCATCCACGTCTTTCTCCGCCCCATCTCGCGATCGCAATCCTATATTGCACTTCTTGGCTTTGCGGGATTAAGCGTGGAAGCATTCCTCCCCGTGCCACAGATAATATCTAACCAACGTGCGCAATCCTGCAAAGGCTTTCGTGTCTCCGTGCTCGCGTCGTGGATTCTTGGAGACGCAATGAAGATGGGATATTTCTTTTACGATGCCCATTCAGTCCCATGGGCTTTTCGTCTTTGTGCGATTTTGCAATGCATCTGTGACTGCTACCTTGGTGTACAATATTGGATGTTCGGGAATGGGATCCCGGCAAAACTTGATGTTGACCGGATTGTGGCGACTAGCAGGTTTGATCATGGTGATGGTAGGTGGGGGATGAAGGATACCGATGTGCGATTGTCATAGTTAGCTATTTGAGAGGTCTATCTTTGTGGCTTGCTGGTTTAATATGTTGACATGTTACTCATAAATAGACCTTGGCGTTCTCCTTTACATGTCATTAGTTTTCTATGTCTTCTGTTTCCCCCATTTTCTTGACAGTTTCTGTCTGTCATATTGAATGTTAGTTAGACATATATAAATTTTAATGGCCATATGCCCTCTCTTAATTAGAGGAGCAGTATCAGGCTAAGGATATTTCATACCAATCTGCGGTAATCAGCGATTGCTAATTATCCCAAATCAACATCCCTGCGATAAAAATCTTTGCGAATATGAGCAGGGATGGACATAACGATATTAGATTGATTAAATAGGCGCCAGGTTCCCCACGGTTAGCTCCATCCCAGATTAACAATATCTTCCCCTCATCTGAACCCAGAGCTTCACAACATGCAAAGACAATTCTCTGCAACCACCTTAACATCATCCCCCCTATTCTGCACCATACCATTATATCTTGCCGTCCATGGCTTCATCAAGAGACACTATTAGAATTGGCTTTGTGCCAGGTAAGTTACGTATAATTCCTGACGCAATTTCTCCCGAATTCTCGGGTACTAATGTTATTCCGTTAAACGCCAACCCCCCGACGTCATGCATTATTTACGTGCTAATAATGTCAGATAAAATGAGCAGAGCACTACCTAACCCCTCTTCACCTTGCTCTCAAGTCGTTTATCCCCTCCCTCCCATTCAATGTGACCATCAAACCATTTCCGTCTGGGACAGGACATATGATAACCTCCCTGCGCGAAAATGAAATTGATATTGGCATCGGATTAACTGAAGGCTGGGTGGCCGGGTTAGTTGGTAAAACGCAATTGGAAAATGGTGAGGTAGATGGGGGGTATAAAATTGTAGGACAATGGGTAGAAACCCCACTGAGATGGGCTATCGTGTCAGGAAGGAATCGAACGGAGATTAACGGGGTGAGCGACTTGAAAGGAGGGCGTGTTGGAGTAAGCCGATTGGGGAGGTTAGTAGTCCATCTGAACAAAAATTGTTTGATATAACAGTGTCCATTACTCCATTATATTATTGAAGGGCTAACAAATCATCATCGCTCCAGCGGTTCTCATATCATGTCATCTGTTCTAGCCCAACAGCAAAACTGGTCGTCAACCTCATCACCACTTAGACCTGTTGTTCTGGGACCCTTTCCCTCACTCCGGGATGGAGTTACTGGGTACAATTCTTTAAGCCCTTCAGCCATTCCATCCCCATCCGCCGATTTCTTCATGTGGGAACAATTCACTACGAAGCCTTACTTCCACCCATTGGAAATCAATCCAAACCCTCCTCTAAAGAAAATCGGAGAGATCTTCACTCCCTGGCCTTCATGGCACATTGCTGCTTCCACTTCTACATTTCCTTCCCCAGCGCAAGACGAGCGACTCACTCAACTTTTCGATGCCCTGGATAACGGTATTGCTGCCTTCGAGGCCGACAAAGAGCAGGTTGTCAAATTGCTAGGCACGGGTGAACTAGGTTGCACGTATATTGAGGAAGATGCTAGAGAATGGCTTAAAGACGTACGGTTTGTAAAGGATGGAACGAGAGGCGTTGATAAGTCTATTGTTGAAGGGGTGATTGATGTTCTAAAAGTAGCTGATGTCGTCCCGGAGAATATTGAGAATTATGTTGCCTTAGAGAAGGTTGTGGGAATATCTAAATAGATACGCATATATCCCTCTTCGTTATTTGGAAACGGCAAAATGCACGTCACTTCAAGATCAGTTTATTCCGATGGTATGAGCTGTTTCAATTCACATGCATATGAGTTTAAACTTATTTTACAGGGAATGAGGTTAAGTGTGGCTTTGATCAGAGATTGCTCTGAGAATTCTGTGATGCATCGCGGATAAGCTTTGTTTAGGGCAAATTTATCTTATCACTAGTGATGGTCGGGACAGAACAAACCAAGATAGTTTGAGAAAGAAGTCCTACGATACATAGTTGCCATCGCCTGCCATGCCTTGATACCAGAAGTGATGATGTTGAACATGGTATATCTTGCGCAGGCTGCCAAATTGGACTTGGGAAAAGTTTTGGATCTTGGGATATAGGACTGATCTGGGTGATGCGCGGAACCGCTTGTAGTCGCATGGTGGATTTCTAGAGTCTTTCTCCACGGCGCTGAAGATCAAACTTTATGGGAATCTAGCCTAGAAGGCACTACACCCATCCAGTACCCTACATGGTCAACGTCTAGAGTATTATAAAGTGATGCTCATCCCTACTTTTAAAAAAAGCACGGCAAAATCATATTATTCAGCAAAATTGGAAGTCAAGAGCCAGTGGTTCCTATGAACAGCAGCAATATTTTTACAATGGAGAAAGAGATGCATCCAATTCCAAGAATTGGACTCTGGGGCGTCGATCTGCCGCAGAGAAGATAGCTCGGCCTCTGGTATTAGTCCATGGATCTGAGAAGATATCGATAATGGGTTCAGAGGCTCCCTGAGGGAATAAAATGTTGAAAATCACAGTAATGAATCATGCTTTCCATGTTATAATAATATAATTTGACAGCAAAAGCTCCAACAATAGGTCAAGATATCCATCCGATCTATCAGAATGGACACTATAATCAAACTGGCAGCAATTGAGACATCGTTCTGGTGAGCTTAAGTTTTAGCATTGAAGGTTCATTCAATTGAGCTCCAGATGTCAATCCTTATTTTCTATTGAAAACTTCCGACTTGGCCTATGCCATTGCTTGGATTCAGGGGAGTGTAAAACCGTCCCGATCCACAGTAAAGATGACGTTGAGATGTCGAAGTTAACTTCCATATTCTTAAGCTGCCGGAATAACTTTCACCCGGCCAAAACCGTTTTCGAAATTCCGCTCCAGCTTCCGCAACAGCAAAACGATAGAGATAGAGAATCAAGGACACCCTCCCTTTGACGGGCAACATGGCAGCTCCCAGTAGATACATGTCGTCTCTAAGAAGGGGCATCGTATCTGCATTCCGGCCCCCCATACAACCCAATCCCACTACCCTCCCCTTCTTATTTCCCGTACAACAACAGTCCCGATATGCCCAAACACAGGCGAAAAAGAGCACCAAGGCGAAGAAGAAATACAAGACTTACATTCAGCATAATATGAAAGATGCGGTTCAATTCACCCTCTGCGATGCAATGAGGTATACTTTCCTTTACTTGGCCCAATTGGCTAGCGAACCAACCAAGCTTTAACGGATTTAAAAAGTAAACAGCATGAAACGAATAATCAGCTAATTCAATTCCGGTTTTGCACCACTAGATGGATCCGCGCTTTCGAAGTAGGAAGGCCACTCTCATCCGTCAAATACGAAATCCACGTCCGCCTACGCTCAAACAGAGGCGGTACCGTCATCCGCAACCAGGTCCGTCTTCCGCACTCCGTCCAACCTGTCGCCCGCGTGTGCGTGATCTGCCCTCCAGATTCCCGCGCCGCAAAGGAAGCTGCCTCAGTTGGAGCGGAAGTAATAGGCCAAGAAGAAGTCTTCGAACAAATTAAAAAAGAAAATATCAATTTTGATATCTGCATCTGCCACACGTCGAGTTTGGCGGCCATGAATAAAGCTGGCTTGGGACGCATTCTCGGTCCTAAGGGTCTGATGCCCAGCGCCAAAATGGGCACTGTGGTGGATAACATTGCTAGAACGGTGCGGAGTATGCGTGGCAGCACGACCTATCGAGAAAGGATGGGAGTTGTAAGACTTGCTATTGGGCAGCTGGGCTTTTCGCCTGATCAACTGAAGCAGAATATTGTCACGTTTATCTCACAGTTGAAAAAGGATGCTGCTGCAGTGGATGATTCGTCGAAGGAAATTTTGGAAGTGGTATGTCGTTATCTGAATCCCTTCTGCCAATTTTTTTTTTTTTTTTTAAAAAAATAATTTTATATGGAAGCGCACGCAATGTCCTAACTAGTGGCCAAAAAAGGTATTGAGCTCAACCAACTCTCCAGGTTTTAGTTTGAATGGGGATTTCAGAAGTCCGGATTCCCCTCCGGTACAAGCACTCACGGGCAATTAAGTTGCTGTCATAGAATATGTATAAATATTTGTCTTCATTCCCTGGTTTTAAATACATGGCGTTCTATGGTACCCCTTTTGATAGACTAAATAAATAAAAAAACCACATAAACTCCTAAAACACCATGGCCTGCCATGCCGAATTCTTATCATGTCTTTGTTGATGCAAAACAACGGGTGAAATACCCCTAATTCCCAGCTATTGCATCGCAGTTTCTACGCTGTCACCATCCTGCGTCTTTTCCCCAAGCAGCTCATACAAGCGCGTAACGGCCTGGAGCTTTTGCGGTCGATTCTTCGCTTGTCGCAAGGCAATTTTCAAATCCAGCAACAACGCGGTTTTTATCTTCCCCATCCTGCCCTCTTGCTGGGCAATGAAAGGATGACTATCACCCACCCTCCCACTAATCGTCCTGATATACAGATACTTTTGTATATGTCGTTCCAGTCTGGACAAGGACACGGTTGGTGCGCCGCCACCGTCACTCCCACTCCCCGCAGCATCATCATCACCACCACCACCACCGCCCCCGTCACTTTCTTCCATTTCACTCTCGATAATCCAATCCGAGTCATCTTCATCAGCATCAGTCCCCGAAGCTTTCTCCCCACGTCCATCAACAATCATAAGCGACTCCTCCAACTCTCCAATACTATCCTCAACGTCCAACAATTCATGGGCAACCATAATCCCCTTCCTCAGCTTCTTCTTCTCCTCTATCAACTCCGCCACCTCCCCAACCCTCTTTTCAAACAAATCCCGCAGTCCCTTAACATCCCTCTGAAAACCTAACAGCCCGACTCTAACTTGCTCAACCTTCTCTTCGCCACCCCTCAGCGCGCTGCCCAGTGACAGAAAGTCTTGATAGTTCTCATTGACAAGGTCGAGGAGCTCGTTGTTGAGCGACTGGCTAAGCTCACGTAGTTCAGTTTGTAGGTCGGAGAGGGTCTGGTGGCGGTTTGTCAGCGAGGAGAGGAAGGTGGCTGGGTCGAAGGTCGGGGAGAGGAATGATGAGCGCGACAGAGGCTTGGGGAACGGGAGGTTCGAATCGGTGTAATTAGCGCCACTTAGGACGGAGTCGGAGTCAGAGTCGTCTGGGTTGCCGAACTGTATGTGTATGTTCGGCATAAGGTCAGTTGCGGGAATGTGTGTTCTGAGGCCAGATTATACTTCAAGAGAGGGAGGAGGAACATACAAAAAATCTGGAGGCCATTGTGTAATTTTTACATCTCTTTTCTATTCGTCTGACTCTCCTGAACAGTCAGGACAAATTAACCAGAGTCGGAGATGAAGTGGGTATCTAGGAACGGCTGAAGTTGGGCTGAGCGGAACGCGGGTATCTAATCCCCTAACTGCGGCCCGGAGGCTCGCGCTAAATTTATTTCCAATTATGAATAGCGCATTGTGGTTAAGCGCGGTACCATAGCAGGAGCTCATATATATAACATTGCTATCATCCACAGAATAATAGATTTCCTGGAGTAGAAATTCTGTGCTTTGAATAATCATGGCTATATATATGTTTGTAAGCTACTAAATATAACATATAATATTGTTTTAAACATTGATTAGTGTAACGAGGCGGCGCCGAGACGGGGAGTCAACATTGAAGTCACGTAGCATAGGTTAGAGGAAGCCGAACGCGGGTGGGCTTGACTAGTTAAGGGAGCAGACGAGGGGATGCCTACAAATCGAAGAGGTAACTAAGAATCGAGGGCACAAGTGATTGTATAGAGAATTGTATGCGTATTCCAGTAACTCTGATATATTGAGAACGAATCGCTGACCCTCTGAACAGTGGGTCAGATAGCTATCTTCTATCAAGCTCCCTTCCTTCATGGAATTGTGATACATGCGTCCTACCTGATCAGCGGGGTCGGGGCGCCTCCTGGGCGTCATTCGTGGTGTGTTTCTCATAGCCTTCTACAGCGATGATCTATACAACCATCTCATATAAAGGTGGGAAGAATGGAATTTCACATAGATCCTGTGACCGTGACAATCAATATAATAATTATAAATAAACATATATAACTTCATGTATATTTTTTTTAAATTGTATAAACTTTAAAGGTTTTTTCTAATTTAATAATTATATTATTAACTTTTATTAAAAACTTTTACGATGAAAATTCTACATACTATTATTCTACATAATATTTATAATATTAATCTCGAAATCTTCTCACAAAGTTTATTAATGATCATGTAATTGAGTTGATGCGCGTATATAAGTTCGTTCTGTGAGGTGCTAGCTACGCTATAACTAACTAATAATAATTAGTTTAATAGACCAACCTGATATCAACAGTGATAAAAGATGCAGATTTGTCTTAATTGAAAGAAGAAGATTAGTTAGTGAGTGAACCGTTTCTTATACACTGCTTACTCAGAGAGTTCAATCTCACTCACTCCATCAATAATGTTTAGTTACCGAACAAAATCTGATGTCTCTAGAGGGTTAGTTTTGATTGCTGAACTGAACTTTTGTCATACAATCCATTTAATCATTCAGTTAGACTTGAGTTAGAGACATTGTACATGCAAGCAGCAGCTCAGACACTTGAAATTTGGCCTTTTTCTAAAGCTTTGACGTAAAAGGAATGCTGCTCTCTCGATAGAAAGCTTTATTGACTTTGGGGATTGACATTTTGGCTGAATTGGGATGCATCGTGTGTAACTATGAGAGAGATGTCCGAATATTTCGGTGGTGGATTAACTAGTTACGTCTGGGACGCCAGGTCTTCTTCCTGCCCCCACTCTGCCGCTAACAATCGCAATGACAACTCATCCTCTGCATCTCACCAGCAGCGTCGATGTGGATAGGCCTCAGGGTCTCTGAACAAATGCACCTTGGATGGACCCCAGTTTCGTCTCCATCTGTCAGGCCAATGTATGCCGGTCTTATTACCTGCTTGAATCTTCGTAACCTGCTCCGCCCCCCCCCAAAACATACCTAGCTACCTGTTCGTCGCTCTATACCACCCTCCCTTATGACAGCCTGCACGCTCTGTTCGATAATACCGCTACTTGGGTAGAGTCGCGCTGCGATATTACAGGACCAGCGTCTATTCTCCTGCCTACTATAAGAGAAGTGCCCCTCCCATGAATACTTGTCAAGATGGATACCAGGTCAGACAACGTCAACTCCTCCCTCCTCCTTGACGGCCAGCGACTTTCCTCGTCCCTCCCTCCCCAGCCGTGGCTCAATCACACTCCAGTAACATCTCGTGGATGTACCCGTCTGTTTGACCCTGCTGTTTCTTCTTCTCCTCTTGACGAGTCCACTCTTGCACGTCGCACAGCAGCTCTACGTCAACTGAATGGCCTCCCGCGCCCGTTTCACCGTATACACCGCCATACTACTTCTGCTAGCAGCCGGTCATCTCTCCCCTCCCAACCTGTCATAGTGAGGACTTATTCCGCCGAAGCCGATGCTCAGATACGGCCGTCTGCCATGTCACAAGGATCAGGTCTTCTAGCAAACGGATCTGCCGCAGATAGGTTATCTGTACAGATACCATCTGTTCAGGATTTCAGCATTGATGGAATTCTCCGGGCAATTGAGCCTGATATTCAAAGTACACTTGATGCTATCGCTGAAATATGTGGAAGAAGCAAGCTGAGTCTTGCGAATGAGTATGGAAGTCATCGCCCGCCTCTGGGGGAAATTCGCGCTTCTGGCAGATCAGCAGATCCCGGCCTTCTACCTGTCGAGGAAGCTAGCTCAAGTAGCGAAAGGCTGGTTGACCAAAACATTGTCATCCTAGGGGATGATACCAGCACGTTTGGCGAACGGAATCCGTTCTTGTCTACATACCATTTGCTAGTGAATGCGCACGAAGACACTGGTGCATTACCCTATGGATCTACCATGCTCCCTAACTGGAGTCCAGATCCATCCTCTCAACAAACTGTTATACCACCTAGAAATTCCTCGTGTGAAACAGGGACCCAATCTTTGCTACTGACCAGCGAGGGTAGACATCCCAGACACAGTTTTGACTGGTCTTTGCTTGGACGAGGCACGGAACATAGGCGTCAACATCACCACAGTATCTCGACGCAACCCGTTGTCTCAGAAGTACACTTGGATGCTCAGGCAGACGGAACTTATCTAATGGACACGTCTTGGGAGTCATACCATCGCGAGACTTCTGGGGAGACAGATGATTATTCAAGGAATCCTGCCATGGACGATTCACTTCTATTGCGAATTCGAGTTGAAAGACTGTCGTCCCTCTCTGATCTGCAGGGACTGCTCTCATGGTTTAGAAACGTAGGGCACCGCCTTGATAGAGCTGGTGACTCAGTACCTTCCCAAACTGCTGAAATGAGGCTTCGTGACGTTCTCCAGAGGCAACACAGTAGCATTTCAGGTGCGGTGTCGGCTGGAAATGCATAGTCGTTTTGGCATGCCTCAGTTTCTCGTGAGCACGGTTTTCAACATTGAGACGACCTATCGGATTTCCTTCTAGTTCCATTACCATATATCCTCGATGTTTTTGCATTTCATTTTATATACCCTTTCTTGGTTTTCAAGGGTGACTGTATAATGTCTAACGATTTACGATTCCATATTTCTTTCGTATCTCCCTTCTTCTAAGAGGTTTCTATGTACCAAGCTCCCCTGGGCGATTCTGCTTCCTCGTAATGTGCATTTCCTAATCAAAATCGAATATTTCATACATGCATCTAGCGCAAGCTATTCACGTTATACGTAATACAATCACAATCATTATGCAACCGGATTTTTGTCTGTTGTACATATAACTGCAGCTTTTATAACTTCTATGCAATCCATCCAAGATAAGAAAACAATATGAGGTATAAATTAATCGCATAGAATCGCAAGAAAATGCAGAATGCAATGGAATGGACGACAAAAAAAGAAAATGCTGTGTTCCAAACCTCACTCCCCGCTCCGCTCCGCCTCCTGAATAATCGTCTTCGCAAACTCCTCGAACAGAGGTCTCGACCAACACTTCCGATACCTCTCCACTAACAACTCTCCACCCTCACGCTCGCCCGCATTCCCACCCCCAATCCCATTCCGAACCACGCCATCGGCCTCTCCCTCGCCCCTCCCACCAACCCCCTCCACCATCTCCCCAAACCCAACATCAATCGGCACAGCCCCTAAAAACCTCACCCCCATCTCCTCCGCCATAGCCCTCCCCCCGCCACTAGAAAACACATTCGTCACCTCGCCACAGCATGGACACGAGTAGCCGGACATATTTTCCACAACGCCAATGACAGGAATGCACGTCTTGGCGCAGAAGTTGAGTTCCTTCCGCACGTCTGCGGTCGAGATGGCTTGTGGTGTCGTTACGAGGATGGCGCCGGTGAGGAGCGGTTGGCTCCTCTGCTGCTGCTGCTGTGAGGAATTTGTAGATGTCGTGGATGCTATTGTGAGTAATTGCTCTGCGAGCGCGATGTGTTCGTCGCTGGTTCCAGGCGGCGTGTCGATGAGTAGGTAATCGGTCTCACCCCATAGAACGTCAGTGAGGAATTGTCGGATCATTGCTGTCTTTTTGGGGCCGCGCCAGATTACAGCGTCGCCGCGGTCGTGGAGGAGGAAGCCTAGGGATATGCAGCGGAGGGAGCCTCGTGGGGTCGATTGGGTAGGAGGAGATTGGGAAGAGGGTGGTTGTTGTGCGCTTGTGCTTCTATTTGTATTTGTATCTGTATTTATTATTGTTGCTGTGGAAGGCTGCGACGGCCCTGTGCTTATATCCGTAACTGTATCTGTATCTGTAGTGGCGCCAGCGCCAGCGCCGACAGCGGAGGATGGAGGGTGTGGCGATGCGACGGAGGAGTTATCAGAGGTAGAAGCAGGGCCAGGGGCAGCAGGATGGACCAAAACGGGCACCCAGCCACCAGGCGCCTGAGTGATTTTCGCATCTTCCTTGCCGACCAGGCGCGGTATGGAGGGACCTGTCAGGTCGACATCGAGAATGCCCACCGATCGCCCCTGGAGGGTAAGGGCTAGTGCCAGTTGCAGGGTCACGGAGGATTTTCCTACGCCACCTTTGCCAGATAGGACCTGAATCAACCGTTGGTTAGCTGGGAATAAGGAATGAAGTATGGGGAGGGTAGCATTTGGGGTCTTTCTTGTTTCTTGTTTATCGGTAGGACGCCATCATTGGGAATACCTAAGGTCATGTCATGATGGGCGGCACGGGGAGGTGGTTTGTGGGGGGGGGGGGGGGGGGGTAAAATATGGCTTACCAGGACAATGTTTTTGATGCCGTCCAGCGGCATTCTGGAATGGTAGTGTTAACTGTGATTATTCAAGTAATGAGGAGTTAAAGTCATTAAGCAATGTTTAGTAGGAGAAATGTTTAGTAGGAGCATTGTTATTGTTGTCTGTGAGGCTCTGATCTCTTCTTGAATTTTTTTGGGATTATTTATTAAGCAGCGGAGTGGCGTCGTCGGGTGCGGGATACAAACCAGCCATCAGGATAATGACAGTAGCTAACTACAACCACAAATCCACCAATTTACCGCTTCATGAAAAGTGAAATGTATGTATGTAGGTGTTATGACTCGCAGGTCAATGGTCCATTTTAAGTTCCATTCTATTTATTTATTTATCATAATTAGTTGTATCTACCATGCTTTGCCAAAAGTTATCTGCTTTCCAGCCGTTCAGCTCCCACAGTAACAAAACAAGCGTTAAATAAGAGTCTTAGAGTCACGCCTGATACAGTTTAGAATGGATATCACGTCCATTTCTGTACCACAACCCCCCCACGCTTGTATTCCTTGAGGTCTCCTATGACCGCTTCCTTATCAGTTAGTTCCATGCTAGGGAACGTCGTCATCAGCACCCACGGTCGTTGCCGGCTGGCGGGACTTGAAGCGGTCACGAACGAGTATACGTCTCCAATGGTGTTCGTAGTGTTGAATCGGGTGACTAACCGCGTGCCATCTCCTAATCTTATTTGGAACGTGACTGTCGGCTGCGACTCATCTATCTTAGGCCCTTCAGGTCCTGGGGACTGCTGTTCCGCTTCTGCTGCTGGAAGTGCAGTTGCAGGCGCGGAGGATGGAGATTGTGTAGGACCAGGTGTTGGGCTGCCAAGTCGCTGTCCGCTTCCTGAAAATGGTTTGTACTTGGGTTTTGGCTTTACGTATTTCTCATCGTGTTGTTTTATCTCTACATCAACCGATTGTCCCACCTGCACATTCATTATCGAGAGTGGTGCACGTCCTTGTCGGATGCCATTCAATATCTCTGCATTGCGAGGGTCATCCGATCTGTAGAGGTCACCGTCGTCTACTGAGAACCCATCTGCCCAGAAGTGAAGTATTCGGCTAACGCGCTGGGCTCTTAGGGGGCGATTAGCATTTGGGTCGGGGATAAATTGGCTTGGTGTGTCGTCTCCTCCAAGAGTACGCGCGGCGCCCGTGAAATGCGAGCTTCTCGGTTTTAAGACATCTGCCGCTCTTGGTGCTGACCTATTGTGCAAGGCATGTTAGTAGCCTCCCCTTTGTTCAAGCTTGAGAGAAATATATATATATCAAGATTGCGCACCTTCTCGCCTTCTCTATGATTTTCTGTTTGATATCATCCGGGTTTTGAACTGCCAGGCCTGACTTCTCCCCTCCAGCAAACATATCCTGCCCTTCATCACTGTCGTCATCGCTGTGATCATGAGCTCCATTATCACCCGCACCTAGATCGCCGAGGGTCGCAAACTTCTTCTTGGTGGCATTGCGCGTAGCAGCATCAAAGGAAGGAGAGGTTGCTGCACCACCAAGTGTTCGACCACCACCTGATGGCTGTGCCGATTCGTCGTTGTATCCATGGCCGTCTTGCGTGTTATCATCTTGGTCGCGATAGAACTCCTCAAGCGCGGTCTCCAGGTCCCAGTTGCTCGTCACCAGGAACTCTCTGGCCTGTCCGACAATCCCAAAATGAAAGAGTTACGATGAACATTAGAGATGCTTGCACATGCACATGCACAACCAAAGAAGATCTTACCTGTGCAGGAGAAATTCCCGTAATACCGGAGAGTTGAGAGATCAGAACATCCTGCTCCTCCTGCTGAAGGTCCATGCTATGTAACAGGAGATCTAGGTGCTGATCACGAAGCTCTCCACCACCAGATTAGAACACCAAATATAGCTAAAGAAGAGCCGAAGGTGCGGCAGGAGCTCGACAGGAACTGAAGAGCAGAGAACCAGAGTTGAAGATACAGAGGAGATGTATAAGAACTGTTGTTGTCTCTCTGTTTGAGCCCGTGAAGTTAAGTGTTTGGCGGTTGAACATGCACAGGAACGTCACAGTTGCCTGGCTGTGATTATATCAGCATCCCGGAAAACTGAAGAGGGACTTAACTTAACCAATGAAATCACAATTCTGAGCACTCAAGTACCTAGGTATGTTGATCTGTTGGTGGGATATGCTCATATAGGTCAAGAAATCAGAGTGATGATAAACCCTGACCATGACCTGTTCTTGAGGACAGTTGCGGGAGTTGTATATATATACATATATGTCTAGACAGAGTATTAAGCATCATGTGACCTTGAGCTGCTCTTTGCTTGTTCGGTGAAATCAAGAACCAAACAGAATATCGTCAACATATCAAGTTATCAACCATCTAACAATCAACTTATACACCGCATAACATACACTTCGCGGGTTCCCCATTCCTTTTTACTCTTGCCGGCCAATCAAGTCCTTGCTTCGATATCTTCCCAGCAGCATTTGCTTCCCGACAAATAACCTCCCTCCTCTTCCCCTCCCCTTCCTCCTTACACAACTCCAACGATGCCGTCAGACGAGATCCCCTCACAATCGCGGATAGACTTGTACGACTCCACCTTGATCGTGCCCTCGGACTCGGAAAACTACTCTGCAAATAACGATCTATCCTCCCTGTCACCCCCTTCCACGTCAAGTTCTCCCGTCGTTCTCTACAAGCCTCCCACGCTGTGGGGTCTACTACGAGGTGCGGCTATCAATCTTCTCCTCCCATTTATCAACGGCCTGATGCTGGGATTTGGTGAGCTGCTGGCACACGAGGCTGCGTTTAGGTTAGGATGGTTGGGTACCAAGGTAAGAAAGATATTGGGGTCGAGGCGGCGGTGGAGTGGGAGTTGCCATTCTATTCGAGTTATCTACTTCACGAATAACGCAACTAAAATCACCTGCCTGCGCTCATTTAGATATTCCCCACTCATCGGCGATCACATCCGCTTGGTCCTGGTATTGAAGTCCGTGAGGCTCCCCGCGAAAAGCCGCCACGGAATAGATATGATCTGGAAGAAGTGGCCTTGCTGGACTGAGCCCGTGATTGTCCTCCGTATTCATTTGGTTGTAGAATGAGAACGCATTTCTCCGCGGTAAAATATTAGCTGTCCTCATTTGATTGCATCTTTCTCTCTACCGCACATGTACATTTCATAATAGCTTCGATTCATCCCTCGTATGCAGGTTGAAATCTGGGATTGGCGAATGGCGTGTAGGAGCTTCAACTGCCAGTTTGTAACTATAGGGAATGAACAAGGACGAACATGGATAGAAATTAGTGAATAAGATCGCTGCCTGTAGATCACCTCACTATTTTCCGTTAAATCTTACTGGTCTATATCTCCTATTTAAATATACCCTTTTGTTTTGGTTGTTTTTATTTAAATAATAAATTGTTCCGTTGAGAGAGATTTTGCGGAGTCGGCTAACCTTCCCCGAAACAGCGAACAAAAAAGAGAGCATCGCCGATATGGATCCTCATCAAATTTTTTGGTGGACTTCGGAATAACTCAACACCAACATACCAGGCCCAACAACACGGGCACGATGTCAGGCTCACATTTTGCACGGCTTCCTATTCTCCTTATTATGCTGGGCAAGACAGGCGTCAGGCCATGGGCCGCTGTATCTGTATCTGGTGTAACCAGACGGACAATGCTCGCTGCACCACCCTCCACTAGACATGTCCGTCTTCTATTCCTCCCCAAGTCTTCTTCTATATTGAGGTTGCGGCATCTGAGTTACTGACCACTATTTCTGTACCAGCTCTCTACAGTCACAACAAGGAAGTTCTTCCAATCGAAGTTGCGGAATCCGATACACAATGCTACTGGGCTTCTAAGGACATCCTCCTGGAGCTCTGTTGCCGTCCAGTTCGCGGGACTAGCAAATCCCCGTTTCAATTCCACTACGACAAACCCCAGCTCGACCAGTGCTCCCTCATCTCTCAATTCCATAGATACCGTAAACCCCCCGTTATCAAGTGGTGTTGAGTCAATTGATTCCCTTTCCGTGGCCGACCCTGTCAGCATAGATATTTCCCAGATCCCTGAAACGCTGGGCTATCTAAAGGCGATAGGCCTAGATTATGGCTGGGGCCCCTCACTATTAATAGAAACAATCTTGGAATCGCTACATATCCATGGAGGATTGCCGTGGGTGGGTGCTACGATAACGACTGCGGTTCTGCTACGTGTGGCCATGTTGAAGTTCGCCATTGATGCGTCTGATACATCGGCCAAGGTAGCAAGCGTGAAGCACCTAACTCAGCCAATCCAGCAGGAGGTTAAACGATGCTATAGAGAAAACGATACTATTGGGATGCAGCGTGCACTGAGTGCACGGAGGATTATTAATGAAAATTACAATATCAAGTTGATGAAGCTGGCGTATCCGATGATACAGATTCCCCTCAATTTTGGAGCCTTCAGAGTCTTGCGGGGCATGTCTGCTTTACCTGTGCCGGGGTTGGATTCAGAGAGCTTTCTTTGGCTTTCTAGTGTTACGGTGCACGATCCACTCTTTATCCTCCCGGTCTCAACGGGCCTGCTAATGCATTATACATTCAAGGTTCGTTAATGTAGAAAAATAAATATCAAAAAGGCTTTCATTACCTCCAGATCCTCCCATGCGGTTTTTATATCAAGTATGCTAATATCATCCCATTAGCTCGGAGGCGAGGTGTCTTCGTCAACTGATCAAACCGCGATGGCAGCCAAGCCCCTCTTACTCTACGGCCTACCCGTCCTATCAACAGTGTGCACATTATTTCTACCAGGAATTCTTCAAATCTTCTTCGCCTCGACCTCCGTCCTAGCAATTCTGCAATCCTACTCCTTTCACTCCTATTCCTTCCGTCGGGCCCTTGGAATGGCCCCGTTCCCTAAGCGCCCTGACCAATCCTCCAACACCCCAACCGGCCCAAAAGTGCGCATCATTGAAGCCCCGCGAGATAACTCGACAGCGTCCTCACATATCGAGCAAGTGCCCAAAGTCAGCTTTATAGATCGATTCATCTCCAGTTGCCAAAACTCTATAAAAGACACAAGGAAGAAGATGGAGGATATAGTCGGGCAGAACCAGAAAGTGGAGAAGTTTGCTGATGGCACGCCTAAGGTACGTATGACTAAAAAGCAGCTTCAGGATGCTGATGCCTATGAGAACAAGCGGAGGGAGGAGCTTGCTCTGGAGCGGGAAACGCGAAATAAGGAGCGACAGATGGAGTATAGGCGGAAGGTCGTGGAGAATAAAAGGAAGCAGAAAGAGATATGAATGAGTGGACCTTTCTTTTCTGTTTTTTCTTGTTTCAGACTCTCTTTCTCCTATTTCTATTAGATCTAACCCTTCCCCATGTTGTATTTTCTAATTGATATGTACAGTACTTTATTTGTTGAAATGGCGTAGGAGTGGATGTATTATCTGTTTTCCTATACTTTTTCCATAGTTTTGGTTCAGATCTAATTGCTTGACTGATTACTCAAACTGATTCTTTATTCCTTGTCGTATCCTACATTTATCACGTTTACATCCCTTGTGTATCCTCACCTCTCATGTTTCTCTCGTTTCGTTAGTCACTAATAAGTTCTTCTCCCACTGCTGGTCAGCGCTGAGGCCATCTATCTCCCTTGCTATCTTAGCATATCTATACACGTCTAATCAAAAAGGCATCCTTTAAATGCTCGCTGGATAGCACATACGGGTGAAGGATATAAAAGAAATGGAAGTAAGTAATTGCTGAGACAGCATAGTGGAAACGCAGAAATTGTACGGGGAAATATGTCATAACCCGTCAATACCTATGAGGCTTCTCCCTATTCGCCCACTTGCATTCAATTGATCCTCGTGCCTCTTTTTTATTCATTTAGGGATGATATACATTTTCTATGGCAATTATATCTTCACTGCATGCTGGTTCGGTATTTGCAACAAGACAAAAGACGGAATAGATAACCTAGGAAGCTAATCAGGCCCTAAGGCATGCTTGAAGATACATAGATGCACCGAAACCTCACAAAGAACACCACAACAGGATGAGAAGATAGTGCAGTGGCATGACGAGAAAATTGGTGAGAATCGTTCTATATAAACCAGTCGATGAATGATAAAAACATATTATTGCCATTCAAATGAAAGAAGTCCTGGTTCTCACCCATTGTCCTTCCATCCATATAATCCATGCAATTGCATTGAAATTGGTTCAAAACAAAACCAAACTGAACCCCGAGACATCACAGTCTAGTCCAGTCCAGCCCAGCCCCTTGGATCCTTTGAACCCCAGTAATCCCCCTATTCCATATACCATCCCCCTCAAATCTACTGAAATAACCTCCTCCCTCCCACCCCGCGAATGCCACACGAAAATGACCCTTTAACACCCATGCCACCCATGCTCAACCCACCAAAGCCTACCCCGCCACCTTCGCCATCGCGCTTATACCGTCTAAGCGCCTCGCGCAGGTGAGAAGGGAGGAGTTGTCCGCGATGGGGATTTGGGGGTGGTTTGAAGGGTAATCTTTGTTTGCGCTTTGGCTCTGCCTGTGTCTGTGGTTGTGATTGCGGCTGGGTTGATGGGGAGGGTGGGGTGGTGGTTGACTTTAGAATGTCACTGGCAGTGGTGCTGCTGTTGGAAGAGGACGGTTCTGTTTTCACAACAGCTATGTCATTCCCTGTTAGATCCGTTTTTGTAGAAGGCATATCAGCGGCTGCTGCGCTGCTACTCAATTGGTTTGTCCGTGTCTGACTGTCCATGATGGCGTTTGTAGCAGTGGTGGTAGTTGGTTGCGTGGATTGCGTAGATGCCGTAGTAACTGCTTGTTCGCGGGCACGAGTAGGGGCCTCCTCCTCCTCCTTTTCCTCCTCCTTTTCCTCTTCCCTCGCTAGCTCAGCTTCATACTCAGCGTACGCAGCCCTATCCGCAGCCTCAGCCCACTCTTCCTGCACGGTCCGTGCCTTCTCCACCAACTCCCCGACAAACACCTTCGTATACCCACTGATAGTCGTAATAACATTGGGTGGCACCGATTGAGACAGTGTCTGATTCACAATCTTGCGCACCATAGGTTTATTCAATTTAGCCCGTTTGAAGAAATCATATCTCGTCGACTGAGCGGGTGTAAAGGCATCGATGAGGATCCTGTTATTTCATTAAACTCGTTAGTAACCGCACGAAGCATACCACTAAATATTCATTCCAATTCAAAAGAAAAATTCGTAAAGAGAAAAAGCATAAGGAAAGGAAAACTCACGCAAGGTTCTTCCTCTCCGCCTCCGCCTCCCTCGCCGTCCCAGGACCATCCCCGTCTTCCCCCTCCCCCTCTACCTCCTCCATATCCCCCTCATCTCCATCCCCATCTTCATCCACCTCCTCACCACCACCATCCACCTCTACACCTCCATCAACAGTAGTTCCCTTTACGCTCGCCGTCCCATCTCTCTCCGTCTCCGTCTCCTTCTCCTTCCTGCCCCCGGCACCCCCCTTCTTCCTCTTCTTCCCCCTAGCATTCCCAGACCCATCTACACTCGCCGCAAACAACCCCGTAACGCTCCCCGTAACGCTCCCGCCGTCCGCTTCAGATTTCACACTGGCAGCTCTGGCGCTGTAGACGCGCGGATCGGAATCCTGAGAGGAAGGGAAGGACGTCTGGCGGAGTGGGTGCATTCGCGCTTTCTTATGGGAGATGTGAGTGGAAGAGGGCATGCTTAACGGTCGCTTTTTGGGGTTTTGATTTGAGGGTGGGAGGGAGAGGGGCGTTTGTGGCGATGGTGGTGGTGGGGAGAGAGACATTTGTGTTCTGTAACGTGGGAGAGGGGGATTTGACTGTAAGCTGCGGATGCTCAGCTCCAGGAGAAGTGAGTGGAGTGCTAATGCACGGTTGGACTGACAGAGATGTTATTGTATCTGAATAGAATGATATGTTTCCACACTGGCTGTTAGGTGATGGTTTCCTAGGCGTGTAGCAATCTATGGGGTGTGATAAAACACGTGACTCCACCAGTTGAGTTCAAGCTCGATTTTTATTAAGGACTCAGTCAATAA